GTGTGACACTGCTAAGTAAGAAAACGTTATATTTTTGTAAATTTGGGTGAAAAGCATTTTAACCTCCCTTGCACAGGCTTTTGACTTGCCAACAAAGGGACACACAAAAAACACATTGTGGGCTTTAACCATGGTGTGATGGACCCGCTGTGGGGTTCAGTAGTAATTTACAGCTGTGTTGGTTGCTGCCTCCACTGGCTCCAGTCCAAACACATCTCAGCAAATAAGCTCCTTATTATTATTATGTCTGAGGAAGAGGAAGGCAGGGGAATAACTGCAGAAATACAGAACGGTGGCCATTAAGTGCTGAGCCGTGGTGTTGCCAGCTCAAAGAGCAGCTTTCTGTCATGTTTCCAGCCTGAGGCGAAGGCCAGGTGGCAGTTTAGTGACAGTTGTGAACACAGAAATGAAGCTTCTACCAATGTTTTCAGTGCAAAAGAGGAAGATTATATTTGTTCACACTGTAGTGGAATTATAGCGCTGTAGACTAACTGTTGCTTCATGTCTAAAATAGAGATGGTCGGGTCTAAAATGTGTGTGGTTCGTATAACCGGTGACCTATTTTGTGGTTGTTATGAAGACTTGGTGCTTGACCTCCCATTAAGCAGTGTAGCCGTGCTCTTTGTTAAAATTAACAATAACTTTGCGACCAAGATACACAACAGAATCTGCAGTGTGGAGCTACAAGACAGGCAGAACTCCCCATGTAAACTTACTCTGTTCTGCTGAGCGGCACTGTGTGTTGCTGAGCCGGGGAGCCTCCCTCCCTCTACTACAGTGATCAATGCTCAATTTGGTTAAGAGGCACAGATGCATTGGTTTAACACACGGAGCTGTCAGGGTGCCGCTGAAAGGCATTCAGCCACACTGCTGTGTACACTGCAGGGAAAGTTACCCCAAGATTAAATTCGTTTTAAATAACAGAAACCAGCTTTTTGCGTCTTCCCTTTTTTACCTCGTTTCACAATAAAATTTGAAAAATCGAACATTTACACTCTAACCCTAAAAAAGAAACTCAGCCCACAAACACAGTAAATAGAGAGCTGCTTCTTGGCTCTGTTTGGACTGAAACATTCAACCATTTCACGCTTCTGGCAGCAACGTAACCGCCAACAGTTTGTGTTCAACATGCTCCACAATGAGCGCTTTTCATTCGGCTAATTATTCTTCCCTCCCATCCTCGCTCCTTCGTCCTCCAGCAGGACCCGCAAATCAATTGAGGTCCCCTGTCATCGCGGATCCAATGGATCTCACAGGAGATGAGGAATGAGGAGGGAGGAGGCTTCAGACGGCAACGCCCCTTCAAAGTGAATCTGTTTAGTGATTGGTGTGATCTGATGGGAAAGCAAAAGGAATACTGCTGACTCTTCCAAAACAGTGAATAGATCTATAATCACTACTGGAATGGCAGACAGTAGTTAATTATTTCTACACATTTTAGGTCAGTACAGATGCTGTGCGACATGATTAATTGCAGTCTCCTCTACATGACGCTGGACCGAACGACGATGCCTCGTTGAGAAAATGCCTCCCTGTTAGGCGGAGTTAAGACCAGAGGAAGAGACGCGAATTAGGAACCGATGTCAGGGAGCCACAATAGGAAAGCACCCATTTTCAACATGCAGAGAAAAATTAAAGCAATGTCAATGTGGAAGAATTCCTCAAATAACCCTAGTTGCATCCAGCCACACAGATATCAGACAAAAATCATCTGCAACCTCCTGGAAACCCTCGTGTCCCTTTTACTCTGGATAATCCACAGAACACATTTGTGCAGCCACTAGTTTCAATGGAAACTGGTCACAGCGAGTTGCCGCTGCACTTTCAATCTCCACATAGCAGCTTTGTGTCAGGAGGACACGCTCTCTCTTCAACTGCTGCTGTTGCTACAGTGCCCTGAAAGGAATACTCCACCAAACATGCATCTTTTCATCACCACTGGTATAAAAGTGACTGAAAAGTCGAAATCGGTCCTTTGCAGAGGTCAACGTCTGCTGTCAAACAATTGTTGCTTACTTTTGGCCGAGCTTCAGAGATATGAAGAGATGATGTGTTCAATGATGATGGACAGACTATAAGTTTCTGAAGATACTGAGCATAATATGTCATGGGTCAAAGCGGATTAAGCTACAGGAGCGGTGCGACAGGGTGTTGCCGTTGGGATCCATTGTACCTGCTGTGAATCCAAGCCGACTGCTGCTGTAGTTTCTTTGAAGGAGCAAGAAAGAATCACAAACGGCAAACTCCTCGAACTAGAATGCTCCAGGGCAAACAGGAGGAAACTAGTTGCAACCAAATAAACGAGTATTCAGCTGAAGAAAAGCCGTCTTCTCCTCCTCTCTGGTTAAATAACAATAGGTTTGAATGTAATACATTTATATTCCATCTTATCAAGTACATCAGTGGGAGTGATTGTGTATGAATGAGACTGCAGCTCATTCTCTTTATGTTTAATCCGCTCTGCTCTTATTCTGATGGTTTAAGCACTGTGTCGTCTACAAGTGAAGCTGGCAGAACCCAACAAAGGGGAAGGAAATATCCACTACAGATGTCTCTAACAAGACGTATGTGGGAAAGGGCTGAATGGGATAAGGGTATTGATTTTTATCTACTTCAGTGAAGCCATACCAGCCCACAGGGAGCACTCAAACACAGAACACAAACACCCATATTGTTCCTTCCTTTTCCCTCATTTGTCCTTTGTTCATTTGTCTTTTGCAATTAAGTTTGCCAAAAAAAGAAAGTAAAGAAGATGAATGCTTGCAGCCAGCTTCCAGCAGTGTGAAAGAGGTTCTGGGTTATATTAAAACCTAAAATAACACAAATGTTAGTGCTGCCTGATGTACATCTGGCAGCCTAGTATGTTTCCCTGCTTCTCACACAATGCTTGCTAAAGCCGTCAGTACCCACATGACACTGAAATAACGGCACAATAATGTCAGAGTTAAACCAGTTTCCTACCTCACAACAACTACAATATGTCTTAGAACTACAAAAGTTCCTGGACAAGCAAAAATCAGCATCAAACCAATTATATCAGTTCATTATGATCATGTTTTACTCCCGAGCCATCTGCACAGCCATCGTAACGAGGTAGAGGCATAGCAACACAAAGTCGTCCGCAGGCAATGCAACCCTGAGTGACGACACTGATTTTAAACCAGTCCTGTGCAAACCAATCATCAAGTATTATATTTTCACCCTCCAGAATGGCGTATTTATTTCAGATCTGATGCCATTGGTGGAAGATTGTCACAAATTAACGCTATTAAAAACTTTAAAAAACAAGATTTTATCCAAAGCACTTTACAATGTGCCCCAATAATTCACCCAGTAGCACCATCACATACCGGTGATAGTGAGACACCCTGTGAGGCGCTGAAATCTGCTACTGGGAGCAGTATGGGGTTCAGCCTCTGGCCCCGAGCACACTTCAAACATGTGGAGAAGAGGAGCCGGGGATCAAACAGCAAACACTTTGATTACTGGAAGACTCGCTCTCCCTCCTCCCGACTAACTGATTAACTATCTTTGTTGGTTTTTAACAACATCGGCAAAGAGCAGCATTACAACTTCAAGTACTGACAATGTGTTTGGCAACCTACCATGACCATGACCGTACACTGTTAATTATATGTCTAAAATCACTGATGAAACCAAATGTAACCACTCACCACGGTTAAAGAATAACAGCAGGTTCAAATTTTTCACTTTCCTTTTTCAGTTGACAACTGGAAAGCCTTGGGAGTCATCATGAACCATAATGAATATAAATATGATCTCACTCTCTCAGGGTATTTAGCCTGGAACACTGTTTCAATACAACTCCGAAAAGAAGATATATAATATGATTAGCCTTTATGTTGTTGAATTCCGGAAGGATATTAAAGGCAATCTATGTTAAATGTCCCTTTAGGATGATAGCAAATGTAATTTTCTATCACAAAACACCTGAGAATTACAGTTGAAGTCTTTACAATACACGGCACACGGATAAGTGGCCGAGGAATATATTAATGGAAAGTTAAATAAAAATCAATTGAGAGGCTAAAACAAACCAAACCAAAAGTATTTCTGATTTATCTCATCAACAGTGAGTTTCAACTAACCCTTTTCAAAAGAAAAAAGGAGAACAACAAACTTGTTGCATCCAAATTGAGTCATGAGTCATACGTCTGTGACTGTTTCTCGTTATTCTTGACATTCCATTAATCCTCACATTCATCAATAGTGCAAATAGCCAGTGGCAAGCTTAGATGTCCCCAACGGCAAGAGCTAAGGACCAGATGTTAAAGGGCAGCAACATCAATTAAAACACGATCAGAGTGAAACCATCTACAGTTGCTTCCCATAAATGAAAATCAGAAATGCAGCCTATAATGCAGTACATCCACCGGCAGCAAAACACCCCGTCTTGAGCAGATATCAATAATACCAAGCAGCAAACAAGAGTGACTTCACAGGAGATTAGCCTAAACCTGGTGCCCATCCTAAGCCTCTATAGCTGCCTTGATAGGCTGCTAGAAATCTCAAAATGACTGCTTTATTAATTCAGATCAGAATGACACCACAAGCTTAGTAAACCAATACAACCTTAAACTGTGTGGACGGATAGGACATCCCCATGTGTTATGAGAAGCACCTCTTGCCTATTCAGGCAAAGTCTTGGCGCTCTCCATGGTGCTGAACCTACGCGGCTGAAGTGCGGTGAAGTGTCAAAGCGCTCTCCATGGTTCTGACTCCGCACCGCAGATACAGTCGGTCAACTCAACCTTAGTGGCATTCTCAGCCGCTCTGAGCTGATTTCTGTTGTAATTACAGCCACTTCCAAAGTCGCCTACATCAGTGAGTTCTTTGTTTCAGTTCGTCGAGTCTCAAGCAAGGTTCCTTGAATTTCGTAGAAAACGAGGAACAAATACCGGGCACTTGTGGGTTTTTTTCCAAGACTCCCCAGTTCGAGAAACAATACATAAGAATAATTCTAACGGAGATCCACTAACCTGTATCCGGAGGATGCCGCCCGGACCGTCCACCGTGCTGGGCGAGTTGTCGAACACTCGGTCCCTGTACAGAGACCACAGCCCGACGTTGGGGAGGAAAAGGAGAGCCGCTATGAGCAGCCCGGCGAACTGCAGCAGCCTCTTCTCCTTCCGCCTCATCTCTCTCCGGGAGAAAGAAAGCGCGAGTGAAGAAGCAGCGGCGGTGGAAAACAAGCGAGTCCCAACTGCTCTGGCTTTCCAAGCGGAGACAACTTTCACTCTGACTGACTGGAGGGGACGAACTGCTTTTCAAGCTCCTTGAAAAACGCCCACGGACGCAACGTCCTGTCGTGACTTTCACAATAAAACCCCGAGTTGCTTATTCAAAAAATAAAAAAATAAACATGAAGAAAGACACGTTAGGTTCACTGTGAAAACAGCACCTGTGGTAAATGTAAAATACCAGGAAATATGAGTTTTAAAAAGACATTAATAATTCCGACATTGCTAATGAAATGGCATACATATATTATAATGCTTCACCCGGCTGTATCTTAAATAAGGTGCCGGAAGAATCGAAAAGCTCAAACTGGTAGAATAGATATCCGCACACCTAAATCTATGCAGAGAACGCATATATGAATATAAAATGTCTGACAGTTTTTGTTCTTTGCATTCACAATGAAGTTACACATGAAAAAATCAAATGAATTTCAGTAATATAGTATTGAAGTATTTAGTAATCAATTGCTTGTATACAAAGCAAATAGTCCACAGTCCTTATTGATAAGAAGCAGAAGATATATGTCTGATGAAACCTAAAAAAGTTGATGAAAAATAAGAAAAACGCTACTCAATATCAGATCAAAGAGGCATAAAAAAATGCATATAAATATTGACACTGTGAACAGCTATGCTTTGTCAAAAGCTAGTTAAAAGTTACATCATCTAACCACATGCTAATTAAAGTTTAGAACCAATCAAATAAATATGTAGTACAGAAAAAAAGCTTAATTCCTGTAGACTTCTGGAAGTTATTTATGTACAAGTACATTATAAAAACATACAATATACTAGGCCGCTTGTGAGCCACACATCTACGACCAACATGTCTATTTAAACCCAAAGACTGGAGGAGGTACCTCTATGAATTTGAATGGACCGTACAGGTTTTGCACAGCCCCCATTTTGAATCCATTTTGTAACTCTTCTGAAACTGATATTTAATTTTGTAAACGTTTTTATCAATTCAGCATATGCTTTTACATGTCAACTATTTCTGCACATTTTCTAGGTAGACTTTTAGCATGAACAACTACAGCTTCATTCTATTATTTCCTAGTATTTTGATTTATGTTCTGTTCTTCTTGCCCCCCCCCCCCCCCTTCTCTTGCAATTAACAGCATTGATGCTTTTGTTTTGAAGTGTAGATCACCTAACTTCCTGTGTTTTTCTGATTCGCTCTATCAAACTTGATCCAGTTCATAATTTTGAAAGAAGACTTGGAGGGATAATCAGCAGGACAAACCTTTGACAAACTTTTAGGAATTTAGTGCTCGAGTCTGAACAGAAGGAGGTAAATGAAAATAAAGTGAATGACGTCAAGCGGTACTTTCTGCGCATAGAGTTGTATATCGAATAATCCCAACAGAACAGACAAGGGTACACATATCGCCTTCATTTTGGGCTCAGTAATACCTTCAGGATGAGGACTGCTGACCTTTGTCCAAAGCATGGTGTTGTTCCCTACCATCCAGGTAGCCAATGACTTCCTTTCATTAGTGACGAGACATCAAACTTGTTTGAGTGAGGTGATCCACCTTTGTGAATATCATGTCAGCTTTTAATTTCTACCAAAGTTGTTTTGCAATGCTGTGCAGGCCTTTGAAATGAATCACCACTTAATACATATATATTAAAATAAATGTTCTATAGGCATAAAATCAGAGGTCTTCATGTTGGTTAACTAAACGTAAACACGTTTCAAGTTTTGATAAAACCGAAATGAATCGTCTGTAAAGAATTCTTTTTTTTGAATAGGCTAAAACCAACACATTCTCACTCCCAACCAGTCCAATAGGTCAGTGGGCCTAAGGTGTAAACTAGAATGCTTTATGTATCCCTCCCAGCGTCAGGGAAATCATGTCAATATGCTCTTATTTTTTGCATAGCAACAAAACTCAGCTTCAACAAATGAAGCTTCTGACCACACCCAACTAAAACAACCTGGGAACTTCCAACCAGAGGGCAGTAAAACACCGCTTCCCAGCCTAGTGTGAAGTGTTTCTTTAAAGGGTAACTGAAAAAGACCAGTAGTGACAGTTCTTTTGTGTCATTTCATTGCCGCTGCGTTCCAGTATTTGTCTCTGTCCTCATCCCACAGTCACGTTGAATTATCTCATTCCTTTTGTGCCGTAATAAGAAGCCAAAACGCATCTGAACACTTTCTCAGTTCATGCTTCCATGTGAAGAATCTTGTTACATTTCTCTCAACCCTCCTCCACTGCCTCCCTTTCTCTTCAGCAATTTTTCTCAAGGCTGCACTTGTAGACAGAGACAGTGAATACAATGACTGCATTATATTGCATTGCCACTGTGCTGCTCCTTACTTAATTAACGGCAGCCATGCTTGACTCTAGACTGAATCAGAGCTTTTCCAGAATATTATCCCATCTGAAAAGCGTGCAGAAGGAGCAGAGCAGGTGTCAGCTCAACAGAGAGAATGTTCTTTCACCAAGTGACTTGTGCAAACATCAGCAAATGTCTGCCCCGCTGCACTGCCCTTGAGCAAGAAATGTGATCCCTGATATTGCAGGGGCATCTCATGGTCTCAGTGGGTCAGTGCCCCTCTCAGTACATCCATTCATGCACAAATGAATCATGAATCAAAAACTGAACACCTGCATCTGAAGTGGTTATTCAGAAAGACGTATGCTAAAACCACATTCAGACAACAGTTTAACACTAAACTTTACATGACGTTCTAGCTTTAATATTGGCTGCAATATGTTTTATAACCAAAGTTGAACGTGTTGTTGGATTGTATCATATCCCATTTAGGGAAAAGATGTCAGTTACTTTGTGTCAGATATGTACGAGTTACATGGAATGTGTTTTCAACTCAATGACTCGACATTTATTTTTGCCTGTTTGTCGACTCAAAATTACAGTATACTATCCTTTTCACTCTCCATTGAGGTGATTTTTGAAGTCAACTGCTGGACCTGTTTGTTTGACCAGTGTACCATGGGAAGTTAGTTTTATAAACACATTAACGGCCCGGTTAATGTTTGCGGAGCAGATGTACCACAGAATCTTTCTACTGGCTACCTGCAGCCCACATAAGGCGTAGGGTAGTGTGAGTCACAGGCGAAACAAAATGGTGAGCTTATGTTTTGGGATTGTGTTGGATGTTTCTTCAGATCTTTGGACCCAGCAGAGTGCTCTGAAACTTTTCTGTCTTTCCGTTGTTCTTTGTGTTTATTTGACCTGTAGGAGCAGATTTGACAGCTCAGTTCATCGAAACAGAATGACGCTTGAGTAATTGCTTATCAGGGAAGTCGTGGCACGGCCGTTTCTGAATGAGCTCTGCTAATGGCTTTCAGCACAGAAGAGTAAATCAGTGATTTGCCATCAGGGGATATTAATGCTGCCATTTCCTCTGCTTTGATGTACTGATAATTACCTGGGTTGTTTTGTTGTTTCCCCCCCCCCCCGAACCTCTTTCAAATCCACACTGAGCCTGTGACATGAGCAGGAAGAGGTATAAAGCGTAAATCCCCACCACGTTCAGAGGTTGCAGAGTTCATCCATAATTCATGCGGGAAGACGCTGAACAGATTGAATTGTCACAACTCAGGCTGGTACAGATGGAGAGAGACCTCTCTCTCTCTCTCAGGATTAGCAGAGGGAGAGACTGCAACACATCCTTGGTTCAAGTCCGCTCTGTCAAACAATGTGTCTAATCTTGAGTTAACCCACACTCATTCCTTCTACTGTATACGCATGCCTGTCAAATACAAGGTTAGAAGAGATTCGAGAGATGCTTGACTGGTTTAGAAATGAGTATTTGTTCATCGTGTGTGTCAGAGGTTACAGGGATGAGGCAAATGCCAGTTGAAACAATAATGAATCAGCGGGCAGTTTGAGGTCAAGAAGAGGAGGTCAGCATTTTTTGCTGTGCTGTCAGTGACACTGAGTGAGAATTACATTTACAAAATGTCATTTATGCTAATTACAAAGCATGCACAAGGATGCGCAAATCATTTTTCACTTTCGTTAACATTGTGAGATCGGGCATTTAGCCTTGGCGAAGGTCTGCGCACTCCCAGTGGCCTTCTAGTTTTTATTTCATTACCTCTACCGAAGAGATTATGTTTTCGGTTAAATATGTTTGTCTGTTTGTCAGCAGGATTATGAAAAAAGTACTGGTCCAATTTTTATGAAACTTGTGTAGCCCTGGGCCCAGGAATAACCCCTTCAATGTTGGAGCGGATTGGCCTTGGCGGCAGCCTGCACTCTCCAAGTGCCCTTCTAGATTTATTATGCATTCAAACACTGTAAGCTCCTTAAAGCTCTATAATATAGGATTCATTTACTTTGAACTTCTTTTATGTATTTGAGGGGAATAGAAAACTACTGTGTTTCTGTTTCAAGAGGTCATCAAAACAAGTGTGATCGGTTGTCTCCAGGCTTTTGGTCCTATGCGTCATTTTCATAAATGAAAATATTTGTCAACTTCCCTTCGTCATGCAGCTGGATGACTTTTGATTTCTAAAGAAGTGGTGGGCGGCACCAGCATTGTTTCAAGGATCAGTTTACAGTCAGTGGCATCCTGTTACATCTTCATTATTTGAGTCTGGTTGTATGAATCGGGGTGTTGTCGTCTTATGGGATTTATTACAAAATAAGATTATATAAATGGATACAACGTATGATACAACTGCAAACTTACCTGAAATTTAGTTTACATTGTATTGTTGTGGCAAATAATTGGCAAGCTCAGCAGTCGATAAGAGACGAAACCGAGACAAGATTTGGACACTTTAGGATCCGTTTCTTTGGCCAAGTAAAAAGCTAAAGTTGTGGTGTCAACCCTTTTTATAACATGTGCAATTGTCTCTAAATTTAGAAATGTGTTTCTGGTGTCAGTCATTCTCATTGTATAAATTATTTTACAATTTTGTAGTTCATACATCCCAATAGATTATTGGATAAGTATATTGGCATGTGTGTATGATCTTGTTCAGGGATACACGTATGTTT